ATATTTTGTATTGTTTGTTCTGCCTGCTTTTGTAAAATGCATATTTTGAAAATCCTTGAATGCAAAGTTGTAGATTTAGTTACGTAGATTACATTACCCAAATTTTAAATCGATCGGACTAAATTTATAACACAAATTTTTCATTTGAAATAGTGAATAAATATTAAAACCCCAGAAATTCAAGCTCCAATAAAAAATTTCGTATGCAAATCTAAGTATGCAGTTTTGTTTGTATTCTTTAATTGATTTTAGAAACTAAGTTTTAAGTCGATCGGTTGAAAAATGCGGATTTTTCAAACAAACTTTGGAGCTCGTTTTCCCCCCTTTGGAGCTCGAATTTTCCAAAATCCCTTCTTAGTGCTCATTTACACCATGATAGGATACTTGAGCCCAAATTTCAGCATCCTAGCTTTTACCGTGTGGGCTGTGGGCTGTTGACGCGGTTTGCTTTTGTTTTTTTACAGGACAACCCATATTTTAGGCTCCAAAAAAATATCAAAAAACCAAGTATACAGTTTTTTGGAATTGTTCTGAGAGTATACAAACTAAGTTTGAAGTTAATCAGATGAAAACTGTAGATTTTTCATACAAACGTTGGAGCCTGTTTTCCCTCCTTTGGAGCTAGAGTTTTCCAAAATCCCTTCTTAGTGGGCACCTAGACTATGAAAGGATACTTGAGTCCAAATTTCAGCTTCCTAGCCTTTACCGTTTGGGCTGTGCGTTGATCACCAATCAGTCAGTCAGTCAGGACAAACTGTTTTATATATATAGATACTTTGTGGGGTCTGCCACGCCTCCTTCTGTCTGTTACATACATTCGCACAAAACTAGTATATCCTTTCACCCTTTGGCTACAGGGTATAAAAATATATTCTTTCATTGTATTTGTAAATGTAAATTTTATATAAAAGTATAATAAATGAATCAACTGATTCTGACACTTATACCCGTTTCCGAATTCTATATTATCGCCGATTGAAGTTAACTTTTAAGGTTGTAAATAAAACGCGTTCAATTTTCTCAGTCCAAGAGATTTTGATTTGGGTATGATTAGGCAACTGATAAAAAAAAATCAGGTACTTAGATAAGAGATTCGCGTAATGTTTCCATAGTTATGAGTTATTAAGTTTGGAAAGTGACAAGTAAAAACCCAAAGCAATACTATATTTAATAAAAAAATGTTCAAATCGGAATTGAACACATTTGTGTACCAATTTCGATTCCGCACAATTTAAGCGAATCCGGAAACGGGGACCTACCTGATTATTTTCTAGAACGTTTATAAATACTTGTATGTTGTTATTAAGCGCAAAAACTGCTTGGCATGATCTCTCAATCTTTCCTCCTTTCTTTTGTAAAAAGCTTAGAATCTTTGTGCTAAATACTTAGAGTAAGGATAAAACAAGAGATAACGCTACAGTCGAGCAAGGCCGGCAGTAAAATAGCCTGTACGGGTCGGGTGTCCCGACTTTGAAATACCTTGTACATATGTAGACAATAATTATAAAAAATAAAAAAAATTAAGAAAATTAAAAAAAAAAATTTTTGATCGTTTTTACCTCTTTTGGTATTCGAACTCACGTAAAGGGTGTATAATTGCACATTTACATAGCAATTGCGTCTGTGTGAGTGTATGTATGTTTATGCTCGTATATTCGTGTCTGTGCAAGCATGTTCGCAGTCAACTAAACAGCAACATCAACAATAGCCGCGGGCAGCGCTGCAGCAGCAAATATATTTAGCTATATTATATATATATATTAAGCTATAACTTCTTGTTGAATCGGTCTATAATAGTGAAACTTGGCATACGGACACATAATAACTAACTGGGGGTATTTGAAAAATTTTAGTTCGAAATTCCAAGAATTACGGGAGTTACGATTTTTGGTGGAGAAGGGGGAAACGGGGGAGGGAGGGAAATTCCAAAATATACATTTTCTGCGTATTCGCATAAGGCATCTGGGACTTGGTGTCCGTAGGTCTTATAGTCTCCGAGATATAGGCGAGTATACGAATGGAAAATCGGGATTCCCCCCCATAGGGGGGAAGTGGGGGGGGGGGGGGGGGAAATAAAAAAAATAAACTCGTATAGCGTAAACACATAAGGCATCTTTGTGCAAAATTTTGTGCCTCTATCTCTTATAGTCTCTGAGATCCAGGTGTTCATACGAACGGACAGACAGACAGGGCTAGATCGACTCGTCTCGTCATGCTGATCAAGAATATATATACTTTGTGGGGTCTGCCACGCCTCCTTCTGCCTGTTACATTTTTCACTTCCCGCAAACCTAATATACTCTTGTACATTTCATGTACAGAGTATAATTATTAAAAACAAGACAGAACGCTACAGTCGAGCAAGCCCGACAGTAAAATAGCCTGTACTCTCCACAAAAAAATATTAAAGAAAAAAATAATTCTTTTAAAAAAATTGAATTAATTAACTAAATGCCTAGGGCTCAGGGGATCCTGGATACCAAGTTTGGTTATTCTAGCTCTTGTACCTTCTGAGATCCTTGCGCTCATACAGACGGACAGACGAACATGGCGATATTGACTCGGCTTGTCACCCTGATCAAGAATATATATACTTTGTGAGGTTGCCACGCCTCCTTTCGTCTGTTACATACATTCGCACAAAACTAGTATAGCCTTTCACCCTTTGGGTACAGGCTATAAAAATTAAGAAAATTTAGAAAAAAATGTTGATCGATTTTACCTCGCTTGGTATTCGAACTCTCGTAAAGGGGTTTCTTGGAATTTTTCATTGAAATTCGGTATGCTAAGTTTCATCGAGATAGGCCGATTTAACAGGAAGTTATATCCATATATGTATGTATAACCAAGCAGTGCTCGCAGCTGTTGTTACTGCTTTGCACAGGCACACGAGACATACACACACATGCACGCATAATTATTCTACACATATGTTCAGAGTATTTCGAAGTCGGGACACCCGACTTTAGCTTCTCTACTTGTTTTAATAAATTAAAATAACATTGAAATCATGTAACTTAAAAAATGAATTAAAACCCTCTATAATTTGCACACACGCTTGATTTCGTGAGTTTGTCACAGAGTTTATATTCAGTTCAGAACTAGTAAAAAGCTATACTGAAAGAAGGCTTTTCTATCACTACAGATTTACTTCTTAATAAAAAAAAAAGCAAGCCCTACAGTGAAATACCCTGTACCCAGGTAAACTCCGACACTGAGCTATATGCACCCATAGCAGAAGCAAAAAGAAGAAGAGCGAACTTGATGCTGCAGTTTGGGGGGGGGGGGGGGGGGGTTGTACTGGGGAGAATTTGTTTCGCTAATAACTTTTCTTAGAATTGACCGAATTTTAAACAACAGTTGATAAATATATATAAATTATTGACAAAATTCTGTTGGAAGGGGGAAAATTCCAAAAAATAAAATAAACTCGTCCTTTCTCGAACCTAGGAGAATCTGGATATCAGCTTTTATAGTTTCTGTTGGAAGGGGGAAAATTCCAAAAAATAAAATAAACTCGTCCTTTCTCGGACCTAGGAGAATCTGGATATCAGCTTTTATAGTTTCTGAGATCCTTGCGTTCATCCAGATGGACAAACGGACGGACATGTCTAGATCGATTTCTCTTGTCATGCTGATTCAGAATATATATACTTTATGGGGTCGGAGATGCTTCCTTCTACATGTTACATACTTTGCACAAACCTAATATACCATTTTTACCCTACGGGTACAGGGTATAAAAATTGACGAATTGGATTACAAACTATTGGCATATCTGATAGTAGACTTAGATCTATAAACTCCTACTTCACTTCTTGTTCAGTCAAGAAATAATAACAATGCTATTGGTAAATATTGTTTTATTGTTGTTCACCATTAAAATAAAACGCATTTTGGCTTAGATGTTTTGTTTTTGTCGTTTTTTTTTTGTAGTTTTTGTGTTTTTATTTAATTTTATAATAATTATTATTTTTATATTTATCTTTTTTCATTTAAGGAAACTTGAAGGTTTACAAAACAAAACAGACCACAACAGATGCTCCTTTCTTCTTATAATGCTTGTAGGTTTAGTACCAAATACAATCAAACTGAATGGCGGCAAAGTATTTAAGTTTAAAACGCTTTCGGTAGACAACTGAGGCACTCAAAACCCAAAAACTTGTAATTGTAACAAAGAGAATTGTTCAAAAATAACGAAACAATAAAAACCGAATTTTTGAAACACATTTGTGTTAAATATAAATACTAAACGAACAAATGGAAACAGAATTGAATTTTGCAAAAAAAAAAACCTTTAGCTTTTACCAATTTACAATGACAACATTGCTTTGAGGTCGCTTTTGATTACAATTTTCAAAATAAAACAAGCAAAGACGTAGCGAAATACAAATTATTCCATGCGACGCGACTCTGCTTGAGTTGTTTGAAAATTCCGAACTTGTATTTAATTGGAATGATGATAACTTTGGGTTTTTTTGTGGCTGGCCGTCGATTTGAATGCGTATCTGTGTTTCTGGGGTTCTTTTGTTTTTAAAAAATATATATATATGTGTATGTGTGTGTGTTTGTATAAACGGACCAAATATTAGAAAAAATTGATTTATATATTAATATATATAATCTTCAAACAATTATAAAATTTTTGTTATTTCGTTTCCTAGTTCGACTTAATTGGGTGTTCTAGTTTTTTAGTTTTTCATCCAATTTGATTTGATCTTTCAACGCAATTCATTTAATAATTAGTTGGAATTGTCTCGCAATTTTGCTGTGTTCACAGGACTTGTGCGGTGCAGGGAAACGCTTCTCACAAACATGCCCAATGGAAAAGAAAATAGATATTGCTTTTTGTTTTCATTTTTGAGTTGATTTTTTCTCCGTGATTGTTGATTGTTGGCTTCCGTGCGCTGTAGAAGTCTTGCAATTTGAAAATTTTACTAGTTTCCATTTTTTTTTTTTTTTTTTTGTTAATTTTATTTTATAATTTCCTAGACGGTTGGTTGTTGGTGTTTCAAAAATGCGGGTGTGATTTATTGTGGTGTGAGCTTTTCGCACATGATTCAACCTCGCGTCGGATTTAAGGGAAATTATTTGCTTTTGTTTTATGCAATGCAACTATTTTGATTCGGTACTGGAACCGTGTAACAGCGATTGTATATATATGTGTGTTTTCGTGGGTGTGTCATGTGGGGGTTGCGTGTGCGTGCACGTATAGTAGAGCTCGGGTGTGTGGTTTCTGTGTATGACTGTTGTTGTTTAATCCTGGGCGAGATGTGTGCAATGATGGATGCTGATGGATCGTGATAACTTCTACTGCGGGCTTGTCTACACTGAACTTCCTATCACAAGCGCCGCACGACGACTTACGACGACAATGACCATGGCATTGGGGCAAAAGAGGAGCTTGCAGTTGCCACTTTTGCCACTGACGGTGCGGCTGCTGCTGGCATTGTCGGCGCTGCCCCGCCACTACCCACTCACTGCGTTGGATGCTGCTGCATCAGAATTTGATACGGTTGGTTCTGTGGCGGATGCTGTGGCGTTGGCTGGTAGTAATGACTGGTCATGATTTGTTGTGGGTGCAGCACGGGACACATCAGCTGGTATGCCTGAGGTTGCGACTGCGGTGTGAACGTAGGTTGTGGTCCCCCGCCGGCAGGGGAGGGCTGTGGTTGCGGATGGAACGTTTGATGTCCTGGCGATGGTGTTGTTGATGGCGGTGTCTGCGTCAGGAACTGCATCGGCGGCGGCTGCTCCGGATACATGCGTACATGCTATTGGAAAATTGTTATAAAGCAAAGTATTACAAGAAGATGAATTGCCACGCTCATTCACTTACCATGGACTGATAAGGCTGTGATGGGAAATGTGGTTGATGCGGTCCATGCGGATATTGAATAAACTGCTGAATGGGACCAGTAGCCATCAGTGGTTGTCCGGTGGCCGTAGTAGCCGATACATGCATTGGCGGTGCTGTCATCGGAGCTAGAAAAGTACAATAGATATAAGTTGACGTGTAGTTATCAAACATTAAAACCCTATATCTACAGTATATACTTAAAACAAGTAGAGAAGCTAAAGTCGGGTGTCCCGACTTTGAAATACTCTGTACATATGTGTTGAATAATTATGCGTGTGTATGCGTGTTTGTGTGTGTCTGTGTGCCGGTGCAAAGCAGTAAAAACCACAGCAGCTGCGGGGGATAGTTTGGGGGGGGGGGGGGTGTGGGGGGTGTAGTGTGGGGGGAGGAAATCAAAAAAAAATAAAACAAACTTGCACAGCGTACACACATAAGGCATCTTTCTGCAAAATTTGGTGTATCTAGCTCTTATAGTCTCTGAGATCCAGGTGTTCATACGGACGGACAGACAGTGCTAGATCGACTCTACTTGCCATGCATAGAATACATATACTTTGTGGGGTTTGCCACGCCTCCTTCGGCCTGTTACACTTTTCACCTCCCGCAAACCTAATATATTCTTGTACATTTCATGTACAGAATATAACAAGATAGAACGCTACAGTTGAGCAAGCGTGTTTATATGCGTATATGTATGCAGCACAAAGTTGAACCAAAGTAGCACCAACAACAACAGCTGCGGGCAGCGCTGCCGGCAGTGCTGCAGGCAGCGCATGAGCAGCGATTTTACTTATGGCTATAACTTTCATCAGAATTGGCCTACCGTGATGAAACTTGGCACACGGACACATAAGCACTAACTGGATGTAACTACCAAAATTGATTTCAAAATTCCAAGAATTACGGAAGTTATAAAAAAAAAACACTAATTGCGGGGGAGTGGGGGGGGGGGGGGGGGTGTATCAGAAAAAAAAAATAAACTTGGCCTGTCTAGGGCTTAGGGGAACCTGGATACCAAGTTTGGTCATTCTAGCCCTTGTACCTTCTGAGATCCTTGCGCTCATACAGACGGACAGACGGACATGGCTATATCGACTCGGCTTGTCACCCTGATCAAGAATATATATACTTTGTGGGGTCTGCCACGCCTCCTTCTGTGTGTTACATACATTCGCACAAAACTAGTATAGCCTTTCACCCTTTGGGTACAGGCTATAAAAATGCATTAACCATGCTTATTTAGATATTTTACAGCGATTATAGGCATTTTTCTATTACGGTTTAAATGAATTCGTGTACTCACCAAAGGTGCCGCGGCGCATGCGTGGCGCCTGACCAGCTTGCGGGTGCGTGGGTGGCTGGAATGGATGTTGCGGCTGCACTACATAAATGGACGCCGGGTTAGCTACAGGCACATGAGCACCCGTGGTGTAGATACTTGTCATCGGCACGGGTGTCTGTGGCGTGTGTGGTCGCGAGGGATTAGGTGTGCTGGGGCCACGTGGGGTGAACGGCTTGGCCGACGGATTGAGCACATGTGGCTTTTTTACCACGGGAGTTGTGCCGCTGGCAGAGTTGTTGTTAGAAGCAACGTTATTGGGCAGCTGGGCATTTGCAGCTGCTGGTGTGCCCACGGGCGTTGATTTGTCACTAGTGCTGGCAACGGCGGCAGTCGGAGCCGTTGTCGGAGTACTGGCTATGCCAGTGGATGCAGCACTGTTGGTGGCAACATTCACCGAGCTGTTGGTGTTGGCGCCACCGCTACCACTTAGTGCAGGCGGCGTAATCAAGCTATCCGGCTTTGGCGTGACCGCTTGCAGTGGCTGCTGAACCTGTGGCTGTTGTTGATGTGGTGCGCTCTCCAATATACCTGGAGATGTGATCATCACCGGGGATGTTTGCGGCTGTTGTGCCGCAGCTGGCGGCGGTAAGGCATGATAAAGGGGTTGTGGCTGCTCTTGCACGTGTTGTGGCACCTGCTGTTGTTGTTGCTGCTGCTGTGCAGGCGGCAACTGTGACTGCTGCTGCTGCTGCTGTTGCTGCTGCTGCTGAGGTGGCACATGGCCCTGATGCTGTTTAGGCATGTGTTGATGCATGTTGCCACCACCTCCACCGCCACTGCTGTCAACAAGTTGCTGTTGTTGCTGCTGCTGAGCTTTTTGCTGCAAGTGTTGTTGCTGTTGTTGAGGCACGTAGTGTTGTTGTTGCTGCGGCGGCGGCGCATGTCCGTGGTGCTGCTGCTGCTGTACATGTACATGCTGCATCGATACATGCTGCTGCTGCTGCGGCGGCGAAACAGACTGTTGTGGCTGATGCAAGCCACCACGAGGTGGCTGCGATTGCTGTTGCTGTTGTGGCTGCTGCTGCTGTTGCGGCGGGGAGGTGTTACTACCTGCCAGCTGAAACTCCTGTCCGAACTGTCGAAAATCCTGAATTTGATTATCGCGCGAGCGCATAGGACGCTGCTGTGCCTGATTCTGGCCACTCTGTCCCGACTGCATGTTGACACTTTGTTGGTGCTGACCTCCAGCCTGCAATGGCGGCGAGTTGCTGTTGTGCCCACCTCCATGGGATCCGTGCATTGCCTTGCCCAGCTGGGGTGCCTCACTACCGTAATTCAACGTGTTGTTGGGATACTGACGCATTTGGCGCTGAGGCAGCGGATTGCTGGACTTGCTGTTTGACTCACCATTCAGTTTTGAGGCGCCACCTCCCATGTGGGATTGGTTACGGTACTGAGAAGAGCTAAAAGGCATAGTGAAATATATTAATAAAGCTCCTTACTTAAAAACACTCAAAATTAATAGGCAAGAGAGAACGCTACAATCGAGCAAGCCCTACAGTGAAATACCCAGGAACGCAAAAAGAAGAGCGAACTTGATGCTGCAGTTTGTGGGCCGGGTACCAAAGTCAAATTGTTTCGCTAATAAATTTTCTTAGAACTGACCGCTTTAAATGAAATGTAAAACAAAAGTAGATAATTGTATATAGATTACGAATGGTTCATGTAGCTTTTAAAGTGTGGACTGTATTGACGTAATTCTGTAGCGGGAAAGGGGGGAAATCCAAAAATAAAATAAATCCTCAATTCTCGGACCTAGGAGAATCTGGATACCAACTTTGGTTATTCCAACTTTTGTAGCTTTTGAGATCCTTCCGTTCATCCAGGCGTAGGGACGGACATGTCTAGATCGATTCATCTCGCCATGGGGTCGGCGGTGCTTCCTTCTGCATGTTACATACTTTGCACAAGCGGACAGATCAAGAATATACATATATACTTTGTGTGGTGTGTGTGTTACACTTTTCACCTCCCGCAAACCAAATATATTCTTGTACATTTCATTTCATTTAATTTTTATTGAAGTATACCCTTTGCTCCTCAATAATGATTATTGGTTAATTTTTAAAGTAAAACTCAAAAGTAATCACGCGAATGAATAAAAATTAAAATTTATAAATCATGGTGAAAATGCATATGCTAAGAACGTTTTTATACTCTGTACATGAAATGTACAAGAATATATTAGGTTTGCGGGAGGTGAAAAGTGTAACAGGCCGAAGGAGGCGTGGCAGACCACACAAAGTATATATATTCTTGATGAGCATGACAAGTCGAGTCGATCTAGCCCTGTCCATCTGTCCGTCCGTCCGTATGAACACCTGGATCTCAGAGACTGTAAGACCTAGATACACCAAATTTCGCACAACGCTGTGCAAGTTTGTTTTATTTTATCTGGACAATCTCTTCGTCGGACACTTTTTCTAAAACATTCGATCGGTGTATAAACTATTTAACTATTTATCCCCTTAAGCGGACACTCCCCTTGGGCGGACAAGCACTGCCCGCAGCTGTTGTTGTTGCTACTTTGCACAGGCCCACGAGACATATGCAGACAGTTTTAAGTCTAAATGATGTAGAAGAGTTTCAAAAAATAGTTAGGCTACTGCTTAAATGCAGCCAGGAATGAACTGCTCGAATGCCATCGAAAATTTCCAACAAGTAAAAAAGCTAAAGTCGGGTGTCCCGACTTTGAAATACTCTGTACATATGTTTAGAATAATTATAGAAATTAAAAAAAGTAAGAGAATTAAAAAAAAAATGTTTGATCGATTTTACCTCTTTTGGTATTCGAACTCACGTAAAGGGTGTATAATTGCACATATACAAAGCAATTGCGTCTATGTGAGTGTCTGTGTAAGCATGTTCGCAGTCAACCAAAGCATCAGCATCAATAACAGCCGCGGGCAGCCCTTGAACAGCGCTGCAGCAGCAAATATATTTATGGCTATAACTTCTCCTTAAATAGGTCTATCATTATGAAACTTGGTATGCAGACACATAATTACTAACTGGGGGTATTTGCAATTTTAGTTCGAAATTCCAAGAATTACGGGAGTTTGAGGAAATCGCGATTTCCATGGGATAGGGGGGAGAGAGGGAAACTCCAAAATACACATTTCCTGCGTATTCACATAAGGCATCTGGGACTAAAATATGGTGTCCGTAGGTCTTATAGTCCCCGAGATATAGGCGATTATACGAATGGAAAATCGGGAAAACCCCCATAGGGGGGAAATGAAAAAAATTAAACACACTTGCACAGCGTACACACATAACGCATCTTTGTGCAAAGTTTGGTGTCTCTACCTCTTATAATCTCTGAGATCCAGGTGTTCATACGGACAGACAGGGCTAGATCGACTCCTCTCGTCATGCTGATCAAGAATATATATACTTTGTGGGGTCTGCCACGGCTCCTTCTGCCTGTTACATTTTCAGCTCCCGCAAACCTAATATATTCTTGTACATTTCATGTACAGAGTATAAAAATAGACCCACAATTAGAACAAGAAAATAAAAGCATTGAGATTAGGCCTTCGCCTAGACCAACTATTAATAAGCGCGCAGCAATTAACATCCCACGGGGAATCGACAGAAATCTACACACAAGGTATACACATACATGTAAGGTGCTACTTTCGCGGTTTAAGTACAGCTCATGGTTGCCATAAAAATGTAGGTTAGACTTACCCGTGCATGATTTGGGAGTAGCCCTGATATGAGGACTGACCCTGACCCCCCATGTTCAAGGATGGCTGATAACCACCCTTGCCACCAACAGTATTGTTTCCGGCGCCGCCGCTTCCTCCCTGGGGCACACCACCTCCAGTGTTGCCTCCGGCGCCGACAGTATTCGATGAATTACCGCGTATTATCTTGCCGCCTTGCTGCACAGGTTTACGCTTTATCATCGTACCGCCGCCATACTTGCTGCCATTGTCGCCTGCCACATTAGCCGATGTCGAGGATGGTCCCGAGATCTTCAATCCGCCAGCCAGCATCAGAGCTGCAGCAGACTGCGTAGACCCACTCTGACCAACCCCGCCCGGACCCATCGATGATTGTGGGTGTGTGGTGCCTATCATTATGCTCTCGCGATTGTCGCGTTCCCGCTCGCGCTCGTGGACGCGTTCGCCACGAGGCGCTACACCGCCACCTCCGCCGCCGCCACCCGCCGACAATTGCCCCGTTGTCGACGAGGACGTCGACGATGTCTGCGATGGATGTGAGTGCGACTGCGAGGACATACCAACATGCGATGGTGGTGGCCCGGTAATGCTGCGCGTTTGCTTAGTAATATAACGATCGCTGCTCATGGTCTCGCGCAGCTGAAAATCACCGCCTGCGCCGCCACCACTATTGTTGTTTATGATGCCACTGCGCACCTTATTGCCGCGATCCCGATCGCGATCCCTTTCCCGATCGCGATGATCATCGCGCTCTCTATCATTACGGTCGTTGCGCTCTCTTTCTACACCACGCTCGCAAACTTCACGCTCCTGAGCAGGCCGTTCAACAGCAGCGAAGAGCGCCTCTTCATCACCATTCTCCAGATCCAGGCGCTCGCGGCATGCGGGATTATTTTCTATTTCGGCAGCCAGTTTCTCTGCCTTGGCCTCGGCCTCCTTGAACTCCAGCGAATCGCCCTTATCCAGTGGAACTGTGTAAGAGGCCAACGAATCATCAAAGGTTGATTGTACGCCAAACTGATTCTCATTTTTGCGAAACATTTCATTTGGATCCCATCCGTTGGCAGCGCCATCCAATTCTATGTCAATGTCACCATTTGCACCCGAATCCCATGGCTCGAGTTCCTTTTCATCAAAACGGGTTCCTGCAAAATTGTTACACAATAAATATTATAAATATAAAAGGCATAAATATATCTTTATATTAAGAGAAACAACGCGTAGATTTTTGAAGGTCAAATTGCATATTCATCCACATCCTCATTCTATATGTTTTGCGGATTTCTTTATATTGCCTATCAAAATATGTAGATTGACATGTATTGTAGTGATAAATTTATGCTAGATGATAGATGCTAACGATTTTTGGTCCTTCTTATTACATACATAAACATTAAATTACATACCATTGCATTTCTCTGAAATAGCGCCGTCCGTTTGAAAGGCACCAGCAGTCGCATACTGCGCATCAAAATCCTTGGCCATTATAGTGACGACAGTTTCTGCCGGAAATATGATGTGTTTCTTGCCCTCGTCCGGCAGATTTTTGGAGCCTTTAATGCACGACGGCAGCTCCAGAGCGACGTCAAAATTGGGCGAGAATGTACCAAAGATTCCCTCGTAGACGTTGCCCGAACGCAGACGCACCTCAACGACGCTGCCCACCAGCGCGGTGGCCGAGTGCATAAAATAGGTATTGTTGTAGACGCCCTGCGCCAGCGGACGTGCTTTGTTATTCGCTGGTCTCAGGTTGTTATCGTTTGCGTTAAATCTGTGAATTGTACAAACAGAGCGGTCAGCACGGTCAGATTGTTAGTATTCCCCACCATGTGAGAATGCGACAGTGCACCAATTTGCGACTATAGCTCAAAATGTGTCAGAGCAAAGACAAAGCACAAGTACAAGAAAGAAAAGCACGACATTCGGCTCAGCCGAACCTCTAGCACCCTTATACCCTTACAATTCTTGCTAGCAAATTTCGAGTTATGGAAAACCCTCTCTTTAGCACCGATCATTAATATGCTTCTTAATATAAGGCTTACCGAAAATTTCACTTTCAGCTTTAAAATACGAAATACATCATTCTGTAACTAAATCAATTCGCCATGTCTTGATGAAATACTATTTACTATAAAATAAAATGGAGTTGGGGCATTGCACTATTGGTAACTACATTTATCATCCTACTCTTTGTTTAAGAAGCCATAGGTGCATGAGAATTGCTTAATGAATTGGGTTCAAACCGCCCGCAAGAACCAAACACCTTTTTTGAACCGAAGATCGGTGTTCGTACTATTCGCCGTTATCTCTCGACTTCATTACCCAGACTTTGATATGCTTGCTTTGCCCTGTTAATATACCTTTTTTGTAGAGGTATAACAGTTAAAGCCCAAGAGGCGAGCGCCACACGCTCACTCTCAGGGTCGATGTTATATCGATTGAATTTTAGTAGGCCCTGTCAATGCATGTGCACCCATCCCATCCCTATAATACCGTTGCGTGTCATGTGTGTGTGTGTATGTGCGTCTATAACGACGCAAGCACACATCCAATGCCCGTTCTGGGGGTTGCGGATTCTCATTATTTGCGTGCAGGATCGACGACCGTGAATTCGCAACGCACAATGAACTCAACGGAACGACTCAACGGAGAGATACCAATGTACATACACACATACATATATAAATATTTACGCATGTACATATGCATATAATTTCATAAAGACGCACACAGCAACAATAAACTGAGTGGAACGCTGTGCGATGTACATATGTATGCATATAAGGTGGGCGCGGACACGGGTGCGGGCGTGGGCGAAATGTCCGTTGTTCTCTCCTCAAGAGCTTTTTCGTGAATGAAAACAAAAATGTAATTGATTGCGTTAAAAAGTGAATCATGCATGGTCATCGAAGAATGGAAAAGGGGGAATGGGGAAGCAATGGGCAGTGAGAATGCAACCAAACGTGTTGATGTTGTTGCTGCTGCTGATTTTCGGCTTGTGGTACAACAACTGGGCTATAATTGAAGCACGTAGAACGCACAAGCAAACGTAAACGCAAAATGCATGACAGAATGCCGAATAAATGGGGAAATGGTGTGTGAGGAAGAATAGGGGCAGCAACATAACAAGAACGAAATGAAACAAACGTATCGTTGTTTCGGTCAGCAAAATATAGTGACCCAAATTTCATGAACCGACGGGTAGGGGTGGCAGAAGTTGTGGAAGTGTGCCATAGATTTGGTTTGAGCCGAAACATCGCAAGAAGCTGCCGAACATCACAGCCAATGCTGACAATGCATGAAAAAGAAGTTCTCATTGTCTGCGCCGAAGCTATATACCCTTCACTGTGGCTTATAACAAAAACTGTATTCCTCACTGGTTATGGGACGCAGTTTCAGTATTTTTATAAAGAAACAAAACTTTTTTCGAATCGAGTCTTTGATCGCCTTCGCTATACATGCACACATACTAACATATGTACATATTTCAAAGAAATTTCGCTACTAACATTCTTTTGAGATAAGGGATTGAAACAATGCGACCTGGGTTCTTTCCGTCATGGTTTTATTTCATGGTTCCTTATGGGAATGTATGTTATATACGACAATACATATTTTTAAGCTTACATTTTTTAATGCAGTGTATAATATAAGAAGCAAAGAGAAAATGCACGCAAGTAGGTGTGTCAGTGTGTGAGAGAGTGCGACAACTTTGATCGTAAACAAGTGGTCATTTAAAATTATTTAATGCACGCCATGAAATTTTTCCACGTTTTTCAAGTCCCTCACACCACGGTGTTGTGTGGTACATAAATACGGATGTCATATTTTAATTGAAACTGTAAAGGGCACAGCGCGAGTGTGTGTAAGAGAGAGATAACACGAGCGAGGATTTGAGGAAGGGGCAAAACGCAAGCTTGCCACACGTATTTGTGCTGTTGGGGGGGGGGGGGGGGGGGGGGGGGGCGCTAGCAACACGAGCTGCTGCGCAAATGGAAACCTTTAAACAAATTATGTTTTGTTCTTCAATATTCTTTTCCACATCTACATTTCTGTCGCCCTGCGTACTTGTGATTGTGAAAATGCAAATGTAAACAAAGCATAAAATATGATACTTGACGTCGCCAGAGCTGCTGCAGAAAATTCAAATACATACACACACACACGCGCGCACATGGGGCATTATTATATAAGTCCTTTCCATTTACGCTCTGTGCTTCAGATTCTACACAATAAAAATTTGGCTATTTGGCAATGGACGTAAAGGCAGTTGGCAAGATCCAACTTAACTTACAGTGCAATCACCAAAACAAAAATTCACTGACCATACTCGCACGCACACACACACAGCTATGCATACGTCACAAATGGGGACCGCGCTTTCACCTTCTACGAGCGTACAGAGCACTACTATTTAGCTGGCCACGGGTCTTTCAATTTGTCAGGGCAGCCCCACATTCTCATCTACTTACATGCATATTTGTTTTTCTTTTTATGTGCTTTCCTATAATCGTCGGTTCTTCTTCTTACCTTGAGATGCCGCCACTGGCATTGCCGCCACCACCTCCACCTCCGCTACCACCACTAGGTCGAGTTTTCCGCTTACTATTGTTGTTCATAATAAATAGGCAAGCCAATTGCCGCTGCCGCTGCTTTTGCAGTTCTTGTTGTTGCTGTGGAAACTATTTTCGTTGCTCTTGCGGTTGCAGCTTGTCCCGTTTCAGTGTTGCAGTTGGGGCTGAGTAGCAGCGCACACAATGCTCGTCCGTTTTTTGCCAGTAGTCGAACCAGCACACCAGCAACCAGCAGAAGTCGACGAACGCACGAAACTTTGCTTTTTCTTTAGCTTTAGTACCTATTATTATTTCTGGTTTAAATTGTATTTATTTTCGTTTTGTTTTTCTTCTTATGTATTTTTACTTTCGGCTCTCAGATTTGTCTCTTGTTCGCAGCGGTTTGTTTCGCTTCGATTGGGACCACGACAATATGGTTGGTTAATGAAGTGTCGTTCGCTCTTTTTCGCCTCTTCCAGCATTCAACTTCAACAATACATTTTCTTGTCAATTGCAGTTTTCTTTTTGTGTGCTGCTGCTACGCGTATTTTTTTGTCGTTTTTGCAATGCAGCAACAGTGAATTTTAACCAATTTTCAACCACCAACAACAACAACAGAACGAGGACGACGATAACAAAAACACTAATGGCGGTCTGGCGTTAATTTTTCTAAATATTCACGCACTTCTTTTTGTTTGGGGGTTAGCCTTTCGTGCTTTGTGGCTGGCTGGTCGCTTTCTGCTTTTGCCTCTATTTCTGCTTCTGCTCTCTTTTACGAATCGCCTTTTGGTTCGCTTTTCAGTGCGAATTTTCGCTTGCATTCATGCTAAATGCCTATTGCCTCGTTTTGCTGTGCAAATCTTCTCCTGCAACTCAGGTTGGGAGGCGCAAGGAAACGTTTAACGCTTGCTAAATTACGATTTTGTTATTAAATGTATAGTTCTTTAATTTATTTCGACTGAATTCACTGTGTCTGAGTCGACTGTGACTGTCACTAGCTTATCGACAATAATATCGATGACACCAATGGGTAGCGTTGCCAGACATAGTCAAAATTCCTTCGCATATCGCCCATCTTTCTCTTCTAATTGTGCGCGAAACATTTTATAACATAAATGAACTTTTCATACCATATTTGTTTTAAGATAAATGTTGATTCCATTAATTACAGATAAGTTCCTACTGAAAACATGTATTCTTGCGCAAACATAATTTGATGTTTTTTTTGTCTTGTGGTTTAATTATTGGGTACCATAGGGGTTGTGTATTTAATGGTTCCCATTTGCAACCGAAGCTTCACATTGATACACCAAACACAAGAAACTCGAAAAACTCACAAATTAAAAGAGTAACAGAATTGAATTTGAACAATGTGGTAGCCCGATTTTTTCTTTTCGTTGATATGGCAGCGCCATGTGAATTATTTTAAATATGTATGTATGTCGATTCAGTCGTCTAATATGACGCGCCCGTTATTGCAGAATTTAGTCTATGTATTTAATTTGTAAGTACCTCTCCTAAGTACCTCTCCTAAAAATGGTGCAAAAGATTCTATTTTTAAATTACCCACTCTTATCTTTTTCATCAACTCATCTTGTTTTTGTTACGATTAGAATACGAGACGACAGACAATCAACAAAATAGAGCAACTGTCCATCATTGTAAGTCTAACTACAACTGAACGACCTTAAAATGGCGCATACATTTGCGAGATAACTTCATACTTTTATTTTCGTAGAAACACATTTATTTTTAGCAATAGATTGGATTAAAAATACACAACACTTCACGATTAAATACTGTTACCACACGATAAGATAAATGTGCGAATGCAGCGTTCAGCATTATCTTCCCTGCGAAGTCGAGCGCTACAATTAACATAATGTACATAGTACAATAATCATGCACTTTGGCTATATCTGTGAGATAAGGGTTATTAATGAACGTCGTGCGGAAGTAGCGGATACACGGTCCGGAATGGGTGCACAACTAAATCTGTTTCACTGCTATTTTTGATCAGCACCGATGCTGAAAACTGTCACAGCTTGTCACCATCTAGCAAATAACAGGTTGATTATCATTAATGTTATTATTGTAAAGCAAATATTAGGTCGATCAGTTAGTTCAAGGTATCATCGTATTTCTGAATGATAAATTGGGAGTGATCTGCATGGCCGAAAATGGAAAAATACCTGAACACGAATCGTTCCACTGCCAGGCTTGCACCTGTATTTGCTGCCTTATCGTATGCGGATTTCGTTTGATCCACACGCGCCCTCGCCCTCAGACAGATAAATCCGATGCATATATACTTATGTATATACATATGTATGTTTGTATGTATGGTTTTTCGCTAGTGCCGTTGACATTTTCAGTTAAATTATAAGTATTTCGCCGTGCCCCAGACACCCACCCATGTACTCAGTTTGTTTGCCTATCTGCCTGCCGAAAGCGCGTTAAGTGTCTCATTGTTAAGTTAAACTCGAGCAGAAAGAAAATAAAGAAGCGAATTGTCTGTCACCGTTTTCTTGACTTTTATCATTTTTCTTGTTTATCTGAAAAATCTGGACAGATACTCTTATTTATCATTCCAAAATTGTCTTGTGGCAGTTTTCATTAGAATGCGGAACGGTGCAGTTGGGACCACTGTCTATCCCGAATTAGGACCTTAAATACAAAAATATCCTGTTGATTCAGCTAAACAAGTGTTTCGTTAAAGTTTTTTCATCTATTTCTAAAGTAACCCCGCGGCTATATGTAGATACATACATATCTGAAATGTCACTTGTAAAGAAATTATCCTTTGATGGTATGTTTTTACTGCCCACAACAAAAATTTATTTATTGATTTTCAACGTGCGAAAAAAAATTATTTTAAAAACTCGACCACTGATGATTGATAAATTTTTTTTAATATCTTTATTCTTATTTTAAGAACCTGTATTAGGTTGGAAAATTATAAAATTTTACAATAACTTTGATGGTTGCGGTGTGATTCGAACCGAGTACCTCAAGGAACAAAATCACAATTGTGGCATTCCTGCTAGCTCATTGAGCTATGCCAGGCGCTATGATACTATTATAATAATTGAAATAATAATAAAATTGTAATAATTGAAATTTAATTTTTTATTTTCTAGAGTTTTTTGAACCCTTATTCACTGCTAACTCTTCTTGACTTTTTTTTCGAAAATTAACTGCCCGTGAACGCCATGAAGCCATGACTTTTCTCAGCATGCTAGGGCACTAAAAAACATACTACCTTGACCACAAACTTCCCGAAACAACCGCTCAGTGATGCTTTAAGTAAACTGATTTAAGTTCTTGTTATACCCTATCCATCACGCAAAGATCTCAAAAACTATAAAAGCTGGAATAACCAAAGTTGGTATCCAGATTCTCCTAGGTCCGAGAAAGGACGAGTTTGTTTCATTTTATTGAATATTCCCCCGCCACAGAATTTCGTCAATACTGTCCACATTTTAAAAGTTACTTTAACCAAACTTGGCACAAGTCATCTCTATATACTATAGTTATCCAGTTTTGTTTTAAATTTAATTGAAAATGGCTAATTCTAAGAAAAGTTATTAGCGAACAAATTTCACTCCAGTACTATGCCCACAAACTGCATCATCCGAATTTCGTTAATACAGTCCACATTTCAAAAGTTACATAAACCAAATTTGGTATGTACATAATTCCTTCAATACTGCACACATTTCGAAAGCTACATAAACCAAACTTTGCACTCATAGTTCACATCCAATTACATACATATAGGTTAGGGTAGGTTGAAATGGCTGAGGTGATTGTATTCACACGCCCACTTAGGCTTTGAAAGCCCTTTGTGATACCATGTAATCCGTAATTGTGCTGATCAGCCTTCAGCCACCCTGTGGTATTTAAAAATTTCCGAGAAGTCGTTTAAGAAAGGTTTCCCTAGGGTACGTAGCCTGCATCTGCTCAGCGCCGGGCAGTGGCAGAGGAGGTGCTCTACACTTTCCTCCTCCTCCTCGTATCTGCAGCTTCTGCATAAGTCGTTGAACGTAGTGTTCAGTCTCGATGCATGTCTGCTAATCGGTTCAGTCCTTTTCAGCTTCAAATTACATCCAAAACGGTCAATTCTATTAAAGGTTATTAGCGAAACAATTTCACTCCGGTACTGCGCCCACAAGCTGCAGCATAAAAGTTGCTCTTCTTATTTTTGCTTTTGCTATGGGCGTATATACATAACTCATTGCCGAAAGTTTTTCTGGGTGCAGGGTATTTCACTGTCGGGCTCGCTCGACTGTAGCGTTCTCTCTTCTTGCTCCTGCTATGGCCGCATATAAATCAGTGCCAGAAGTTTGACTCGTCGACGTCAAAAGCTGATGAAAACATCAACATCATTCTGTTTTAGGAAATGGAACAATCGAAGATAGCTCTGATGGCACACCGAAAAAGAGTTTCTGAAATGTTCCGAGAGCGTATCAAACGCTGGCATAAGTGCGTTGCAGTTGATAGGGAGTACTTTGAGAGTGACAATATAACTTTTGATGAATACTTACAAGTTTAATTTTCCGAATATATATTGAGAACTTTTTCATCATAATTCTTACTTGTGCTTTATGCATTTTAAGCCGTAGAAAGCGCTGTCTCAATATATTTTTGCGTTTGTATCGTCGAATGGCACATTTTTATACTCTGTACATGAAATGTACATATGTATATTAGGTTTGCGGGAGCTGAAAAATGTAACAGGCAGAAGGAGGCGTGGCAGACCCCACAAAGTATATATATTCTTGATCAGCATGACGAGACGAGTCGATCTAGCCCTGTCTGTTTGTCTGTCCGTCTGTCAGTCTGTCCGTCCGTATGAACACCTGGATCTCAGAGACTATAAGAGATAGAGACACCAAATTTTGCACAAAGATGCGTTATGTGTGTATTCTATACGAGTTTGTTTTATTTTTTTGATTTTCACCCCCACTTCCCCCCTATGGGGGTTTTCCCGATTTTCCATTCGTATAATCGCCTATATCTCGGAGACTATAAGACCTAGGAACACAAAATTTTAGTCCCAGATGCCTTATGTATACGCAGAAAATGTATATTTTGGAATTTCCCTCCCTCCCCCCTCTACCCCGCAAATCGTAACGCCCGTAATTCTTGGAATTTCGAACTAAAATTTTGCAAATACCCCCAGTTAGTTATTATGTGTCCGTATGCCAAGTTTCACTATGATAGACCGATTTAACAAGAAGTTATAGCCATAAATATATTTGCAGCTGCAGCGCTGCTCAAGCGCTGCCCGCGGCTGTTGTTGATGTTGCTGTTTGGTTGACTGCGAAAATACTTACACAGACACGAATAGATGCGCATAGGCATACATACACTCACACAGACGTAATTGCTATGTAAATGTGCAATTATAAACCCTTTACGTGAGTTCGAATACCGAGAGAGGTAAAATCGATCAAATTTTTTTTTATTTTCTTAATTTTTTTATTTTGTATAATTATTGTAAACATATGTACAGAGTATTTCAAAGTCGGGACACCCGACTTTAGCTTTTTTACTTGTTACATTTTGATTTGGGTGTAAAGTAGTTTCAAAAGAAGCTGCATTATTGTGTTCCGGAAATCAAGGATATTTAAAAACAATGGCTCTCTGGTAATATATAAGAGCTGATGTAAATGGTGGATTTGATTTATGTTTGCACTAGTTGTTTCAAGTGATGCGTTATTTGCCAATTCGGGAGTTTTTTTTATCATTAAAGACTATATCTGCTGTAGATCTGTGCATTTTCAGGGATTCCAATACATATTGTATATGTTAAAATCATTAAAATATTTTGCACATAATTATATTTTTATTTATTATTAAAAGCATCGCGTTGTGAATATTATTCAATATAAATGTGGATGTTGTTAGAGCACCGATATCAAGTCTTAAACCAGAACGGGTTTTTTTTTAAGACCATTTATTCACGAAAAATATGCGCACATTAAATTGTTGGAGATTTTATTTAGGCAACGAATAAGATTTCAGTATCAGAAAGAAGTTAAAATACAATATAGTTTTTATTTTTTTAGATTCGCTCTTAAGTCAAATTTTTATTTAAATACTGGCAAAGTATATTCATGTTTCATAAAACGTTATCCACGGGACTTGCATACTAAGTGATTAAATTATGCTAAAAATATATTTGGGTTTTTGGTCGGTCATGCTAAACTGTAATCAAAAAGAAGAGTAGGTCAATCGAAAAAACGAATAAAAATATGATAAATTCCATAAAAATATATTCTATGTACCGACCCCTGTGTTCTTGATTCAGTCGAGCGATCAAATACTATAGATTAACCGTCTATTGTCCAATCATAGCTGTGGCGAACAAAATTATTGCAAGTGCCAACAAGTAAACAAGATAGAACGCTACAGTCGAGCAAGCCCGACAGTAAAATAGCCTGTACTCTCCACAAAAAAAAAAAAATTAAAAAAAAATTTTTTTTTAAAATAAATTAAAAAAAAAATGAATGAATGAATTAATTAATTAAATTAAATTAGAAAACATGTTTATGTTCAGTTTTAACAGCATACATTTACATCACGTACCTATGCGTGTTTATATGCGTGTATGTATGCAGCACAAAGTTGAACAAAAGCAGCAACAACAACAACAGCTGCGGGCAGCGCTGCCGACAGAGCTGCAGGCAGCGCATGAGGAGCGATTTTACTTATGGCTATAACTTTATTCAGAATTGACCTATCATGATGAAACATTAGTACACGGACACATTAGTACCAACTGGATGTACCTACCAAAATTTATTTCAAAATTCCGAGAATTACGGAAGTTATAAGAAAAAACATGAATTGCGGGGGAGTGGGGGGGTGCATCGAAAAAAACTCAAACTCGTACTTTCTCGGTCTGAGGAGAATATGGAAACCAAGTTTGGTTATTCTAGCTCTTATACTTTCTGAGATCCTTGCGTTCATACGGACAGGCAGACGGACAGACGGTCAGACGGACAGACGGACGGACGGACAAGGCTATATCCACTCGGCTTCTCATCCTGATCAAGAATATATATACTTTGTGGGGTCTGCCACGCCTCCTTCTGTGTGTTACATACATGCGCACAAAACTAGTATAGCCTTTCACCCTTTGGGTACAGGCTATAAAAAGCTAAAGACGGCTGTTCCGACTTTGAAGTACTCTGTACATATGTTTACAATAATTATAAAAATTAAAAAATTAAGAGAATTAAAAAAAAATTTTGATCGATTTTACCTCTCTCGGTATTCGAACTCACGTAAAGGGTGTATAATTGCACATATACAAAGCAATTGCGTCTATGTGAATGTATGTACGTCTATGCGCGTCTATTCGTGTCTGTGTGAACATGTTTGCAGTCAACCAAAGCACCACCATCAACAACAGTCTACATAATGAAACTTGGCATACGGGCACATAATCACTAACTGGGGGTATTTGGAAAATTTGAGTTCGAAATTCCAAGAATTACGGGAGTTATGAGAGGTCACTAATTGCATTGAAGAGGGAGGAGGGAGGGAAATTCCAAATTGCACATTTTCTACGTATTCACATAAGGTATATTGAACTAAAATTTGGTGTCCCTAGGTCTCATAATCTCCGAGATATAGGTGATTATTCGAACGGAAAAACCCGGGAAAACCCCCATAGGGGGAAAGTGGGGGGAAAATAAAAATAATAAAACAAACTTGCACAGCATACACACATAAGCCATCTTTGTGCACAATTTTGTGTCTCTAGCTCTTATAGTCTCTGAGATCTAGGTGTTCATACGGACAGACAGACAGGGATAGATCGATATAGGCGATTATACGAATGGAAAATCGGGAAAACCCCCATAGGGGGGAAGTGGGGAGAAAATCCAAAAAATAAAACAAACCCGTATAGCGTACACACATAAGGCATCTTTATGCAAAATTTGGTGTCTCTATCTGTTATAGTCTCTGAGGTCCAGGTGTTCATACGGACGGACGGACGGACAGACGGACAGACAGGGCTAAATCGACTCGTCTTGTCATGCTGATCAAGAATATATATACTTTGTGGGGTCTGCCACGCCTCCTTCTGCCTGTTACATTTTTCAGCTCGCGCAAACCTAATATACTCTTGTACATTTCATGTACAGAGTATAAAAATTTTAGTTCGAAATTCCAAGAATTACGGGAGTTAGAGAAAATCGCATTTACATTACATACATTTTCTGCGTATTCACACAAGGCATCTTGGACTAAAATTTTGTGTTCCTAGGTCTTATAGTCTCCGAGATATAGGCGATTATACGAATGGAAAATCGGGAAAACCCCCATAGGGGGGAAGTGGGGAGAAAATCCCAAAAATAAAACAAACTCGTATAGCGTACACACATAAGGCATCTTTGTGCAAAATTTGGTGTCTCTAGCTCTTATAGTCTCTGAGATCTAGGTGATCATACGGACGGACGGACGGACAGACAGACAGACAGGGATAGATCGACTCGTCTTGTCATTCTGCCTGTTACATTTTTCAGCTCGCGCAAACCTAATACACTCTTGTACATTTCATGTACAGAGTATAAAAGGACACATTTTGATTCATTACTCACGCACCCTAAATTTTTGAATTCGCAGTTGGAATACATTCTGATCGGCTGTATTGTTCATTTACACTAACGTACTGCTATCTGGTGGCATCCGAGGCTATGTCATAATATAATTGAAAGCAACCCATAAGCATAAGGAAACAGCATGAAAATTAACTTTAATTCCCATTCGTTCATTCAAAAACCTTTGCATAAAATCAGAATACTTGTTAACTATTTTAACAATTAACTAATTGATCTAATTACATATAATTGGGTACCTTTTTTGGCGGTATCAAGTAACTGGTTGATCCAAATGATTTCAGAGAAAAACAGCAAAAAATTTAATTCGATGCCAATTAACAAATCAAAAGTTCACACCTTACGAGCACAAGATGTGAGCGTGTTTTTAATTTCAAAAATTTATTTGCACGTAGATAGTCATAAAGTTTCGATGAAAGTTTATAATGATAATAATAGCCTATTTGTCTACGAAATTAGTGGTTACGGTCGATTTTTCCACATCTATGACGCAAAGTTTGCTTTACTCGCACTTCCCTTAAATACAACAATGAATGTTTGACCAACACACAGACGAGACTAAAGCAGAAGGTGCTAATTCATTATTTATGTACTTGGAATGACTTAGAACTTAGAACAAATAAACGATTTTTACTGTAAAAATTATATTTTAAGCTTCAGTGAAACTCTTGAAATAAGCGAATAGAATGTACATATGTTTAAGCTACTTCTGTACAAAACATAAAAAATTAAATTATTCTAAACTATAAATTTATATTTTTATAGCCTGAATGTATGTAACAGGCAGAAAGAGGCGTGGCAGACCCCACAAAGTATATATATTTTTGATCAGGATGACAAGACGAGTCGATATAGCCATGTCCGTCTGTCTGTCTGTCCGTCTGTCCGTCTGTCTGTATGAGCGCAAGGATCTCAGTAAGTACAAGAGCTAGGATAACCAAAATTGGTATCAAGATTCCTATAAGCCCTAGGCAGATCGAGTTTGTTTATTTTTTCTGATACACCCCCCCACTCCCCCGCAATTCAATTTTGGTAGGTACATCCAGTTAGTACTAATGTGTCCGTGTGCCAAATTTCATCATGATGGGTCAATTCTGAAGAAAGTTATAGCCATAAGTAAAATCGCTGCTCATGCGCTGCCTGCAGCTCTGTCGGCAGCGCTGCCCGCAGCTGTTGTTGTTGTTGCTGCTTTGGTTCAACTTTGTGCTGCATACATACACGCATATAAACACGCATAGGTACGTGATGTAAATGTATGCTGTTAAAACTGAACATAAACATGTATTCTAATTTAATTAAATTAATTAATTAATTCATTCATTTTATTTAAATTTTAATTCTTTTTTTTTTAATTTTTCCTTTTTGTGGAGAGTACAGGGTATTTTACTGTCGGGCTTGCTCGACTGTAGCGTTCTCTCTTGTTATACTCTGTACATGAAATGTACAAGAGTATATTAGGATTGCGCGAGCTGAAAAATGTAACAGGCAGAAGGAGGCGTGGCCCCACAAAGTATATATATTCTTGATCAGCATGACGAGACGAGTCGATCTAGCCCTGTCTGTCTGTCTGTCCGTCCGTCCGTATGATCACCTAGATCTCAGAGACTATAAGAGCTAGAGACACCAAATTTTGCACAAAGATGCCTTATGTGTGTACGCTATACGAGTTTGTTTTATTTTTGGGATTTTCTCCCCACTTCCCCCCTATGGGGGTTTTCCCGATTTTCCATTCGTATAATCGCCTATATCTCGGAGACTATAAGACCTAGGAACACCAAATTTTAGTCCAAGATGCCTTGTGTGAATACGCAGAAAATGTATATTTTGGAATTTCCCTCCCTCCCGCCTCTCCCCCGCAAATGCGATTTTCTCTAACTCCCGTAATTCTTGGAATTTCGAACTAAAATTTTTATACTCTGTACATGAAATGTACAAGAGTATATTAGGTTTGCGCGAGCTGAAAAATGTAACAGGCAGAAGGAGGCGTGGCAGACCCCACAAAGTATATATATTCTTGATCAGCATGACAAGACGAGTCGATTTAGCCCTGTCTGTCCGTCTGTCCGTCCGTCCGTCCGTATGAACACCTGGACCTCAGAGACTATAACAGATAGAGACACCAAATTTTGCATAAAGATGCCTTATGTGTGTACGCTATACGGGTTTGTTTTATTTTTTGGATTTTCTCCCCACTTCCCCCCTATGGGGGTTTTCCCGATTTTCCATTCCACTATAAAACCTAGGGACACAAAATTTTAGTCAAGCGCTGCCCGCGGCTGTTGTTGATGCTGGTGCTTTGGTTGACTGCAAACATGTTAACACAGACACGAATAGATGCGCATAGGCATTCATACACTCACATAGACGCAATTGCTTTGTATTGCCGTTGCTCCCCCTTAGAAAAAATTTTGCCATATAAAGTCGACCACACGTTCATTATTATGACGCATTATTTCGCCTTAAAATGGATCTGAGTTGGATTTGTTGAAGTTTTTTCATTGATCATATGCATAAGTTATTTTTTAAATGCATTACAATCTGCTATTCATGACATTTCATCGATTGGAAGTGAACTTATTGCGTTTTAAGTGTCAGTATGTTTGTGTTAACGGTGCACGATTTGTTCCGCACAAATTGACTGACAACCAAAAATTGCTCTCATCGATCGACGATTATTTGACCAAAAATCACATTTTAACCATTAACCACTCGCCGTATTCACCTGATATGGCACCGTGCGACTTCTACGTCTTCGGAAAAATGCATTTGCCCATGAAAGGAAAGCGTTATGCAGACGTAGAGGTCATTCAAAAGGCTTGCACCGGCATACTGGCGGCCATACCGCAAAAAAGTGCAAAAAGCTGTATTGAAGCAGAAGGAGACTATTTTGAATAAATGAAATTGATTTTGCCGAAAAAACCATTTGGTCTGTTTTTTATTTTAAAAGTGCTGTTTACTTTGGAACACACCTTGTATAAATGGTTATGTCTGATGTCTTATGTGTATACTAATTGCTTTAAAAATCGCAAATCATCATCAAATGAATGATAATTACGTAAGGTTATAAAAACAATTCGATCTCCCGCAATTGAGTTTCGAAACAAACACGTTTACACAACATTATCGCTGTATCTATGAGTATATAGTATATGTACTATAAGTGCTCGTTATAATACATGCATTATTAAACGGAAGTATTTAAAACTGGTTTTTGCATGCCAGAACTACCTGAACTCTCCAGATAATAATTGTTTGGGTAACTCATGGAAGCCGCAATCCAGGTATATTTGAGTACGATCGAGATTATTGTGCTCTTTCTAAAATCAATGGAACACAATTAAATGTGCCCATTTGTTGTTGTTGTTTGTTTTTTTTGTTAAGACTTGATTTTGCTGCAGTCTGCTCGGAACCGCTCGATTCGTCACTGACGCCAAACCCAATTGTTCGTAGAAAAACTCCAAAAAAACCCCCATAGAAGTACGAGTAACAATGAAATAAATGTTGATCGCTTCCATAGGGAGCTGAAGTCGGGTCGTAGCTCTTAATTGGCGAAACTCGCCATCAGTACAAAATGCGTTGGCCACGAAAGCACACGTTTAGCATACCCTGTGCGAAAACGAAAACGAACCGAAAGCCCAGTGCAGCTAGTGCTAGGGTCGGGGATAGTGCCGATGAAGGCCAGTCACAGGCGACAATATCTACCATTTACGATCGTAATGAGCTGAAACATCTTAAAACTATTTAAACAGTTGCAATAATGCACCATATGCTGTTTCCATTCCAGCCAGCTGTGATGACAAGTATACGGCAAAAAATGCTGACGGATACCTCGAACACTCGCATGCTGTGGATTTGGATCTGCAGAATAAATACAGTAAACCAAAGGAGGCCCACTGGCTGCTGCGACGCATCTATATATTCACATGGATACTTGGTTATGATAGAGAGCGGGCCTTTTCCGATCTTATCGCAGGGATCACATTGGGACTGACTATAATACCGCAGAGTATTGCCTATGCAGCATTGGCGGGTCTCTCGTCCGAGTATGGGCTGTACTCGGCCTTCGTTGGTTCCATAATATATGTGTTCTTTGGCACGATACCGCAGGTGTCTATCGGTCCGACCAGCTTGATGGCCATATTAGTGCGGCAATATTGCTTCGACAAGCCCATACAGATAGTCATTGTGCTGACGTTTCTGGCTGGTTTCGTGGAGCTACTAATGGGAGTCTTTCAGCTGGGTAAGTTTTCACCACCCTCCCCCTTTTCGACGGATTGCAATTTGAACTGTTTTGGTCAGGTTTTATTGTGAGTTTTATACCCACGCCGGTAACGAAGGCCTTTACCTCGGGCACTGCAGTACTTGTGGTGCTGAGTCAGCTGCCAAGCCTATTGGGTGTTCGGCTGAAGGGCAGGCCATCCATTGGCGACTTCTTTACTCATATCACTCCCACTGACACGGGCCTAGGCATTGTCTGTCTGTGTGTGCTGCTCTCATTGCGTGTAAGTTTTTGATATTGCATTGAGAAGACTAATAGTACCAACAGATTTCGTTGTTTTCGTAACAGATGCTGGCTCAGGTCAAGTTTAAGCAGAACACTCCAGCGACACAGCGTCTGAAGAAGTTACTCTGGTACATTAGCATCTCACGAAATGCGCTGGTTGTTTTCTTCTGTGGTCTCCTGATATTCGTTTGGGTGCACAAGAGTTCGCTGGCTGCTATACCCTTTGCCCTAACAGCTAAAGTCGATTCTGCACAGATCAACTTCAAATTGCCACCCTTCGCTTTTGAGCATCAGAATCGTACTTATGTATTCACCGATATTCTACAGGAACTAGGCAGCGCCATTATTGTTTTGCCTATTGTTGCCGTGCTGGCAAATGTGGCAATTGCTAAGGCTTTCGGTACGTATGCGTAATATTTGCATTTTCCTCTTATTTGCAAAAGCATTTATCGTTCGCTATTCAGTAAAGGATGGCAATTTGGATGCTTCACAGGAAATGCTGACATTAGGTCTGTGCAACTTGGCTGGCTCCTTCTTTAGTGCCATGCCCACTTGTGGCGCCTTCACCCGGTCTGCTGTCAGTCAGGCCAGTGGCGTGAGGACCCCCATGGCTGGCATCTACACTGGTGTAATTGTGCTCTCGGCCTTGAGCATACTGACGCCATATTTCCAGTATATACCCAAGTCTGCGCTGTCCGCCGTGCTGATCTCGGCGGTGGTCTTTATGGTAATAAACCCATCGCTCATCGCTTAACAAACCTTCATAACTTTTACAGCTTTCCATTTGACACCCCTTAAGTCATAGCATTATGCATATGTTGTAATCACTTAAATTTGCAGGTTGATCTGACTCCTGTGAGGGATCTATGGAAATCAAACAAAAAGGATTTCTTCTGCTGGGTGGGTAGCTTTATCATCTGCCTTATAGCCGGCGTTGAGATGGGTTTGCTCTTCGGAATTGTTGTCAGCATGTTGTGCATTCTCCTCCGTTTGGGCAATCCTCAAATTGAGGTGTCACTCAAGATGGTAAGTCAACCACGGATTGGTGACCAAAACCAGATTTTAATTGATTAATTCAACGCAGCACGAGTCCTCGCATTATATACACATTGTGTCCAATTCCGATGTCTACTATACGGGTGTGGATACAATACGCAATGAGGTGCGTGCCGCCTGCGCACTCTACAGATACGATTTTCCGGTCGTTGTGGATTGCTCACGTTTCATGCAATTCGATGCCACATTCGTCGAGATGCTAATAGCCGTGGCCAAGGAGCTTAACGAGCATGAGGCCCTCCTCGTCCTACAGAACATCAGCTTGAAGTTGCAGGAACAGCTGCCGGTGGCAGAGAACATTCGTTTTTGTAATGAAGCCGCGTTGCCTTTCGGCGAAGTCCAATTGCAGGATGTAAAGCCGTAGAAAGAACTGGCAGAAACATCATATTTTTTTGTTTTTCCTATTACTTACCGGATGTTATTGTTATTATTGATTTAGATATGAACTGATATTTGCACGATGCCACAACAGAGGAATATAGCAGGCCCGTTACTGTAAAAACTTATTTGTCCCCCACATCTGGTTCTGTTTTTATTGAAAGCTCATTCGGTTTTTTTTTTATTTATATAGTTCCCAACATCTGCTGCAAAGAATCAGATATATCGTTTTACGATTCAGCTTTATTTTTGTGCCCTGTACCCGAGGGATAAAAAGTGTTACGAAATCACTCTGCTGTATATAGTATATATATGTGAGAGGCATTACGAGATGCAAGTGCTCGTACTAGTTATTAAGTAAATAAATACGTTAAGCAATTTGTTTGTATTAATCAAATGTTAGACTTTACTTTATGGCAAAGAAATTGTGTGCGTCGTGGAACACGGGGGGTAAGTGTAGATTTATAAGGTTGCTTGTCTGCACTTCTTAATTATCTATAAAAATCGAACCTATCAGACTATCTAATGAATCATTAAATAAATGATTCACTAGTATGTATGTACTATATATCTCATAATTTCCGAGTCACAACCAAATTTTGAAGAACTCTAAGTCTACATGAATAGCTCAAATGATTGTATGGTAATAAATATTTGACAGTTGAGAATACCATACCAGAAATGAAAGTGAGGAACAAGGTGACTCACAAATTTAATTAGCATAGACGTACTACGCAGTGTCAGTCATAAACAAAATTTACAAATACTTGGTAATAGGCACCCAAAAGGCATAAACATTAACAATGAATTGTATAGATGAAGTTGAGAAGATCTGTTTAAGCGTGTTCATCAATTGTTTTTGCCATTAGGTTATTTGAAATGCTCATATACTATATGTACAAGTATAATCGCAGCAGCTGTGTACACATTAGCCTTATCGTCAAACGATTCCATATATTTACAAATTTTTCTGACGCAGGCTTAGGTCTCTGGCCATCTATTCGGAAAACGATATTTAGGCCAAAACATACGCATAATTTGTAAAGACATTTGTTATTTATTAATTGGTAAAACGGGTCTAACGTTTATTTTATCATGTATATACAAGTATGTAGTACATATACATATGTCTGTAATGTTGGCATACAAATTACATATTTTATTGAATATAAGTCCTTGCTAAATATAATCCCCAGTAATGAGATTTATTTTTTTCTCTCAAGACTACCTGAAGAATAGCAGCATCACAAATAGTTGGGCAAACATTCTCCTTAACCCAAAAACCTTGAAATGCTGGGGACCACTAGAGTTGCCGACATGGCCGACATCAGTTACTGGTCTATGGTCACCAGTGGGTTGTTAATCGATGTCAGTGGATGCCAGTGGATGTCAGTGCGTGCCAGTCAATGCCAGAGTTGCGTTTGATTTCTAGGTTTTATATTTCTTTACATCAACTAAATAAAACAAGTAAAAAAAGCTAAAGTCGAGTGTCCCGACTTTGAAATACTCTGTACATATGTTTACAATAATTATAGAAAATAAAAAAAATTAAGAAAATAAAAAAATTCAATGATCGATTTTACCTTTCTCGGTATTCAAACTCACGTAAATGGTGTATAATTGCACATTTACATAGCAATTGCGTCTGTGTGAGTGTATGTATGCCTATGCGCATCAATTCGTGTCTGTGTAAGCATTTTCGCAGTCAACCAAACAGCAACATCAACAACAGCCGCGGGCATCGCTTGAGCAGCGCTGCAGCAGCGCTGCATCAGCAAATATATTTATGGCTATAACTTCTTGGTAAATCGGTCTATCATAGTGAAATTGGCATACGGACACATAATTACTATCTGGGGGTATTTGCAAAATTTTAGTTAAAAATTCCAAGAATTACGGGAGTTAGAGAAAATCGCATTTGCGGGGGAGAGGGGGGAGGGAGGGAAATTCCAAAATATAAATTTTCTGCGTATTCATACAAGGCATCTTGGACTAAAATTTGGTGTGCCTAGGTGTTATAGTCTCCGAGATATAGGCGATTATACGAATGGAAAATCGGGAAAACCCCCATAGGGTGGAAGTGGGGGGGAAATCAAAAAAAATAAAACAAACTCGTATAGAATACACACATAACGCATCTTTGTGCAAAATTTGGTGTCTCTATCTCTTATAGTCTCTGAGATCCAGGTGTTCATACGGACGGACAGACGGACAGACAGACAGACAGGGCTAGATCGACTCGTCTTGTCACGCTGATCAAGAATATATATACTTTGTGGGGTCTGCCACGCCTCCTTCTGTTTGTTACATTTTTCAGCTCCCGCAAACCTAATATACTCTTGTACATTTCATGTACAGAGTATAAACACAAATGGTTGCTTTGAACTCTAAGTTAGAACTGAATATTCCTTCATTCAATTTGTTTATAAGTTCATCTAATTCTCTAAGAAGCTGACGGCGGCGTTTTGTTGTTGCGTTTTGGACGACTCTAGCAACATTGCTACAATGTTGTGTAAGCACTTCTCTATTACAGAGGGCTCAAGCTAAGGTCGCCCACATAGTGAAGCTTGCCTAAACCGGCGTAGCTCCTGGTGATTTAGGGGGGATATCTCAAGGGGCATGGAATGCTCTTTAATTTAAGCCAATTAGAAAGTTAAACAATTCATTTTTGTTACCCTTGTATCACATTCACATCGGACATTCCGATCGGTCTGTTGAATCGGACTATTCTCAAAAAGCCATCGGTTATTTTACTTAATTCAAATATAGTGTATAAAGTTATGTCACTAAAAATGTTTATAAAATTGCATCCAAATAAAAGTTTTCGCCACTTTTAGTAACATATCTACCATATACACATACTACTTGTAGTTTGTTATGTTCATGATTCGATTCAAAAAGCATTCATGTATAGCATACATTTCTTATTGGGTTTACGTATTAGGATAAACTTTTTTGGTAAGTATGAGCGCAAGGATCTCAGGAAGTACAAGAGCTAGAATAACCAAACTTGGTATCCAGGTTCCCCTAAGCTCTAGGCAGGTCAAGTTTATTTTTTTTATTCTGATACACCCCCCCCCCCCCCCTCCCCCACTCACCCACAATTAGTGTTTTTTTTATAACTTCCGTAATTCTTGGAATTTTGAAATCAATTTTGGTAGTTACATCCAGTTAGTGCTTATGTGTCCGTGTGCCAAGTTTCATCACGGTAGGCCAATTCTGATGAAAGTTATAGCCATAAGTAAAATCGCTGCTCATGCGCTGCCTGCAGCTGTTGTTGTTGTTGCTACTTTGGTTCAACTTTGTGCTGCATACATACACGCATATAAACACGCATAGGTACATGATGTAAATGTATGCTGTTAAAACTGAACATAAACATGTCTTCTAATTTAATTTAATTAATTGATTCAATTTTTTTTAAAAATTTAATTTTTTTAATTTTCCTTTTTTGTGGAGAGTACAGGCTATTTTACTGTCGGGCTTGCTCGACTGTAGCGTTCTCTCTTGTTTCTGGTTCCAACTCCAATTTAGGTCCGATACCAAGCAATATATTGCATGTATTCTCAGCTTCTGTGCAGTGATTACTTATATTTATGTTAACACATATCTTTACACAAACTTTACTTATATTCGAAAGTAAGCTTATAGGACGTAGATTTCAGATACATATTATAGAGATCGCTACTTGGTATGTGTTTCAAAACTATGTTTGGTACTTCATCTAGTCCTGAAGAGAGAATGGTTGTACCACAGCTATACTTGTATAGTACACGTATATGTACATGTTCTGATCATATCACGTTTTTACCGAAACATACGAGTATAAGGATATGACCACAAATATATATACATATATATATATATATATATATATATATATATATATATATATATATATATATATATATATATATATATATATATAAGGTATGTATGTATATATATAATATATATATATATATATATATATATATATATATATATACATACATATGTACATCTGCCCGCAACGTGAAGAAGAATATGCGTAGGTGCGCTTTCATTTCTGCTTTACTATCGCCTAGCGACGGTAACTGTAAACTTTTGGCATTTTGCCTTTGAAATTAACAGGCGTAAATGATCAAAACGAAAGAAGAGCGAGCCAATGACTTACAGTTGTTGTCGTTGTATTTTGTTTTAAAAATTTGATTTAAAACCATAGAACATTATTTATTACAATCAAACAACATATGCATGCATGTTTCTCTTTACATTTTCATACATGGACCCGAACTGTTACGTGTTCTGTGTGTGAGTGTGTGTATATGATGTCCCCAACTATTTGATATTTGCGTTCTTTGTAATTTGTTGTTGCTGCATAAAGTTACTAATGAAAACCCCAATGCCAAATGTACAAAGAAAAAATTACTTTTAAAAATGTTAAATAATTTTTAATTAATTAACATTTCTTGCTCTGTCAGTGCAAGACGAATGAACATACATAGATGTGTACATATGTATGTGTGTACATTCACACATTAGTGTCTCACATTTTGCTTTGGCTATTTCAATCGTTTGCACGCAACTACACGAACAGCTGTTTGTATGTGTGTGTATGTATACTTAGTTGTCCCCAACTGTTTGATATTTTGTATTGTTTGTTCTGCCTGCTTTTGTAAAATGCATATTTTGAAAATCCTTGAATGCAAAGTTGTAGATTTAGTTACGTAGATTACATTACCCAAATTTGAAATCGATCGGAGAAAATTTATAACACAAACTTTTCATTTGAAAAGGTGAATAAATATTAAAACCCCAATAATTCAAGTTCAAATTTCAAAAACCAAGTATACAGTTTTTCTTGGAATTTTTCTGAGAATATACAAACTAAGTTTGAAGTTAATCAGATGAAAATTGTAGATTTTTTATACAAACGTTGGAGCCTGTTTTCCCCCTTTGGAGCTCGAATTTTCCAAAATTCTTTCTTAGTGGGCACCTACACTATGAAAGGATACTTAAGTCCAAATTTCAGCTTCCTAGCTTTTACCGTTTGGGCTGTACGTTGATCACCAATCAGTCAGTCAGGACAAACTGTTTTATATATATAGAGATTAAAAACGATTTAACATGTTCAAAAGTAATTTTGTTTTATGTAGTACATTAGGCATTATTTATTTATTATTTAATTTATATTTAATCAACATTATAATTTTATGGACCCCATTTGGAAAACCTGCGCACGCCCTTGGCGGAGTACACATACACGGTTCTCTCGGTACGGCTTAAACAGTAAAGAGAAACAAAACAAAACCCATGGATGCATATGTACATACATGTACATATGTACATTGGTACGCTCTTATTCTTTCGTTCACATTTTTTGATCATCTACGCCATTTTATTGCACAGGCAAAA